GGGATGGCTGGAAACAAGGTGAAGTCTTATTAGCGTAGCTTCTGACACGCGGTGTTGTATTTGCGCAGTTGGGCTGAGAGTGCCTGACCTGGATCAGGCCCCTGCTGTGCTACGAGCAGAAACAATTCCTGCCCTGGAAAGGCAGATGGACAGAGCGATAAATCAACAGAAGAAGCCAAATGTCAAAGCTGCTGTTCAGAGGGAATTGTTTAAATTGATCTTGCCTCAGCCCTCTCTGGCATGCAGAGGAGCGGGAGCGGTGGTTTGAGTTTGCATTTCAGATGCTCTGTGGTTTCCCTTTCAAATGGTCGCTAAAATAAATATTCTTCCCCATTTTCAAGCAAACCTTTCTCGCTGAAGAAGCGTGTGGTCGGTGTCGAAGGGCTGACCCCGCGCGCTGCTGATGCCTCTCCCAGCGCCGTTCGGCGTCTGTGCGGCAAGTATCGTACAGCTCGCACGTGAGAGGAAGGCTCTGCTTTTATATTTAGAAAGCAGAAACTGAAAGGAATCCTATGAATAGGCTGGGTCTCGCATGCATCCAAGCCGCTGGCAGCAGCTGAGCGAAGGTGAGCTGCAGCGGTGCGGGCTGAGGGCGTTGGAGGCGTAGCTTAGAGCCAAGCACAAAAGAAGCATTTGCAGGGAGGGTGACTGCAAGGCTCTGCGTTCCTTATGGCGAAGAACAGAGCTGCGACCAGTACCTGCCCCCGTCCAGAATGGGAGGACTGGTGTTTCCTCTCCCGCTTCCGTTGTAACCCGAGTTACTCGGGGTGCGCATCTCCAGGGGCAGGAGCCCTCTTTGCCCGGCCTGTGAGCAGCGGTTACGGGCAGCTCCCTGGGCGCTCTGCCTCGCCGGAGGGGGCTCGACAGCCTGAATTTGCTAAATTTGGCCGAGCGGTAGCTGTGCGGTTCTGCTTGCGTAAAGGCTGCCGCCGTGATGCCCGGGGGAATTGCGGTCTCATGGCAACAGGCACACTTGAGGCAGGCTGGAGCCTCCCGCCGAGTGGAGGTGCTTCGCTGTGACCCACTCAGGTGTCCCCTCCGTGGCCGAAAACATCCTTAGACCCTAAGGGACTCCCGGGTCGTGGACCTGCGTGGCCCTGGGTGACCCGCTGGCCGCGCGGTGGCGGCTGGCAGCGGGTCGTGTCCTCCTACCCGCTGTCCCCTCTGGAAGGGCGGGCGTGCTTTTGCGTGGGTCCTGCAGCCCTGCGGGGATCGGCAGGGCGCGCGCCTCCTGAGAAGCGGCACGCGGCACCAGAATCCAGGTTTCTGGGTTGGTGGGCCGCTTTGCTAGGCTTAATTAAGCAAATGAGGGTGTAAGAGGGAAGCATTGCTTCACAACGTGGCTCCTGATGGCCTGCCTTGGAGGGGATGGGTGCCCGAATGCCCGGCGGCCCGCTCCTGCTGTCGTGGCTCCGCGTCCCGTCCCACTGCTCGTTAGTTTTGTGTTTCGAGTGGCTCTTAAACGTGGTGCCCTAGTTTTCTTCGGTGATAAAGTCCAGCGGCGTGCAGCTTCTGCTCCCTCTCTCCTTGCCAAGTTGGCTCCCACTTCATCAGAGTAAGGTGACCACGTATCCAGCGGGTTGTCGGGAACGCCGCGCCGCGCTGACCCAGGCCTGAGCAAGTTTGAACGCCAGCGAAGCCTGCACGCAACTCCTGCGCTCAGCTCCTGGCTTCCAGAACAAAAGCCGGGGCTCGGTGCGCGGCGCGGCGGGCTCCTGCCGCCATCTGCCGGTCTCTCCCCGCTGGCCGGCACGCCTGGAAACCCTCCCGCCGCCGTTCTTGCAGTGGGATTTTTCCTGTCCTCTTTGTTTAATGCTAAACCTCTTCCCTTTTTCTGTATTTTTTCCCCCCAGCCTTATGGATCGCGAGGTGGCGTTGCTGGCTGAGATGGACAAAGTGAAAGCAGAAGCAAGTAAGCTCCGTCCTCCTGCCAGGTGCCCACCTGAAGAGCTGTAGGTGCTGCTGAAGAGACAGCCCCCCTACAAGCAGATTTGTGCCTTACCTCCCGCTCGCATTGTTCCCAAACACGTGGCTCTGTACCAAACAAAACTCGCCCTACAGCTTGAGCTAACAGCATCTATTGTGACTGCTGACAGTTGACAGCACCCGTCCTCTTCGAGGCCGTTGCGCTGTGCCCTCGTTCGAGGATGGGACGTAAACCGCACTCTTCCATCAGAGGCCATTCCTGAAAATCTCGGCATTAATTCCCGGGGAGCTGGAAAGGGCTTTCGCAGCTCACCTGGTGCGGGTGGGAAGTGGTCCCCGGGGCCGCCCACACCCGCAGCACCGAGCCCCGGGGTTTGGGGAGCAGTTAGCCTGGGGAGAGCGGCAGAGCCGTGCCCCTCGGCGAGTCAGCTCACAGCTCAGGCTCGGTCTGCGTCTGCAGACGTCAGTCGCCGCAGGAGGGGGCGGCGGGGGCTGCTGCGCAGCTGGCACCGAGCTGCCCGGCGGGGACGCGGGGGAGCCCGGTGGTTGCCGATAAGGTGCCGTGTGCCGGGGCTGTTTAACTCCGGGCAGGCTGGTTCGGCATCGACGCTGCCTCAGCCGTGGTCTCTCTTGCAGTGGAAATTCTGGTCAGCCGCCAGAAGAAGGCAGAGGCCCTGAAGAAGATGACTGACGTGGCCGTGCGGATGTCGGAGGAGCAGCTGGTCGAGCTCAGAGCCGACATAAAGGTGAGCTTTTCCACTCCGTTTCTGGCTAATCCAGCCTGGTCCTAATCTCACCCAAATGCCGTGCTGCGGGAATCACGCAGCCGCCGCCCAGTCCGTGGTAGGAATTACGCAGATGCCGCCTCAGCGAGGCCCGGCCCGGGGTTCCTGCTCGAAGGAGAGGAGTCGGCAGTCGGCTGAGTAAATAAGCGGTTTATTTATCCGACGTGCAGAGCGGCTCGAGCTGGGTGCCTCCGAGGAGGGACCCCTACCCCGGGTCACCCCCCAGTTACACCCAGCACCCGATCCCCAAGTCCAATCCCTTAATTCTGGTCGGTGGTCTCTTGATTTCTTACTGGTTTTCCTGGTCGCTGGGCTGGCCGCCTTCTGACGTTACCTCATTCTCTTGGAATTGTTTCCTTGGTCCTTATCCTCTTCATTCCGCTCCTGTCCGCTGGATTCAGCGACTTCTGTGTTTGCAGCGTCAGTTTTATCAGAAAGTTCACTCTCGGACGGCTCCCGCGGCCTAAGGCTTCCCCTGCTTTAGCTTCCAGCGCTGAGCGAGGCCGTTAATCCTAATGGTTCTCAACAGCGGGACGCTTTTTTGTAAAAAAAAAAAAGGGGTTCCGACACTTCTGAAGGCAAATTTTGTGTTGTGTGCAAGTCTTTTCCTTGCGTCCGTAGTTCTCGAATTCACCGCCAGCGCTCTGCACGCTGCAGCCACGCACACACCTGAATTTAAAATATTTGCTTTGTAAAATACTGACTTCAGCCGAGAACCCATCATCCAGACGCGAACCCCGGTGCATGCGGCCCGACTTTCAGCCGCTGTGAACTGGCAGAGAGCAGGGAGCGCGGCAAGGCCGCAGCTTTGTGCTGAGAGCAGTTGTGAGAACCTCCCGCTGGCGCGGGCTGACCCCTGCCTTTCCCCCCAAATCGGCAGAGCCTGCCCGCCGCGCCCGAGCGACTTTTATATTCCATAAAACACCTCTGCTCTCCAGCGTGCCGGCTCCTGCCGCGAGAGGTCAGTGCCAAGTTGCATCAATTAAACTCCAGTTTGAAAACCAAACCTGCTCGCCCCCGTAGCAGGATTAGTGCAGCTGAGAAACCGCTTGCCCCCGCGAGCGTCCAGCGACCCGGGCTGAGCCCATTTCACAGACCAGAGAGGGACAAAGCGGAGCTGCTGCCAGGTGAAGCTGCCCTGCGGCCTGGCTGCTGGAGCCCGGGGAAGGCCGCTTGCGTAGGGGCTTGAAAAACCCTGGGTTGCTATTTCCAGAAGTCGTCGTAGCCATCGGCCTTCTCACAAGGCTTTTTTCCAGCCTGGGTGCTGGTTCCTGGAGGCTTTCGCCTCCGGTTTCTGTTCCCGTGCCCTGTAATTCAGCGCGCGGGCTGAACTAACGTGCGCGTTTTGCCTTTTCTGTGAAGCACTTTGTGAGCGAACGGAAGTACGACGAGGACCTGGGCAGGGTGGCGCGGTTCACGTGCGACCTCGAGGCGCTGAAGAAGAGCATCGCCTCCTTCGGGCAAGGTGAGCTGGGTGGGGGTCGGGGAGGAGCCACGGTGGCGGCCGCCCCGTTGTAGCCCCGCCGTCCCCAAAACCCTTCGCGTGCGCCCCGAAACCTGGCAGCGGCGGGACTGGGAGCGTTCTGCTTCGGGCAGTTTGTTTCGTAGTGGAGAGAGGAGCCAGCCCTCGCCTTGCTGCTGCTGCAGGAGGGGTCTGCGCCCGGTCCCTTCGCTGCGGAGCGCTGGGCCCCGTTAGCCGAGCCCGCGTACCCTTCGCACCGCCAAAGCTTCATCTTGCCAGGAAAAGCCCTGTTGTCCCCTGAGCCTTTGGCTCCAGCCGCGAGCCGCCGCCGCCCCGGCAGCGCCGCAGCTGGCCGGGTCCGGAGGCCGGAGGGTGAGCGCTCTGGGTCCCGCCTGCAGAACGCACATTTTGGGCTGTTTCTCTTCCAGTTTCTCATCCAAAGAACAGCTACTCCATCCGCTCGCGGTGCAGCTCTGCCGCAGCCGCGGCCCCCAGCGAGACCCCGGCTCCCCCCCCCCCCCCCCGTGCCCCTC